CCACACGTACTCAGATGCAATCCCTCACCAATCAAACCTTATCCGTCTGGCACCCAAACCCTCAGCTCAATTGCAAATGGGCCAACAACTTGGGCCAATGCCTAGGCCTATTTCAGACTCCTCATGTAATCCCCAGGTGGGCTGTCATTTACCTAGGCCCAACCAAGTCTGCCCCTCTTACCTCTGTGGGCCGCCCCTTGCCCCAGCCCAACTCGCCCCAATACCCAATACATCTCACCAGTCGACTGGGCCCAACTCCCCAACAGGCCCTCACCTCCTCTCACAGCAAACATTATCCCCCCCGCCAACAAACCAACCCACAGCGGACATCAACTTTTCACAGCCGACCAGCACCCCAACCTCCGGCACCGGCGCCGGTTCCGGTGCAGACCAGCAGACTTCCGGCGAAACATCTCCCCCACTTGTCGGCCCTCTTAACTCCTCACCGGAAACAACCGGGTCGGGCCCATCTATCCTCACCGAGGCCGGGGTTCTAGGCCATGGCCCCCCCACGGCAAACACCTTGCCACCGGAGAATACCACTTTCGTCAACTTCATGGATTTCAATGTGCGGCCACCAATCACGGCCACACCATCCCCCCATCCGGCTAACCAAAGCTTCTACCCCTCCGGAACCCGATCATTTCGGGACGCGGTTTCTGGCACCTCCACCGCCAAACCGGGTCATCAGAGTTTGGAGACCTTTCGGGACAGGCAGAGCGGAACCGTCACCCGCTCCGAGGAGGGCAGGTTCAAGGTAAGTTTCCCTGAGCCCACTGTTATTTCCCTAGCTGAGCCGTTGGATAATGCACTCATTTTGAAGTTCTCTTTCACTGTCCCTTCCCTTTGGGATTTATCTGTCGGTTTGGTCAAATTGAGTCTCAATGGTAGAGTGATTCCTAAGTTCCTGAATTATAATCATTATTTACTCTTTTTTGATTTGAAAGAGGACTACAACGGGGTTTGGATTAAGACGCACCTCAATATCTTTGGATGTGCTGGTCGGGTGTTTAAATACACCCCAGATTTCTCCTTCGTTGAGGAATCTCCCATAGTCCCGGTGTGGTGCTGTTTCTCGGGCCTTTTACCACACCTTTTCGACCCTTCTGCCCTCTTTTCGATTGCCAGTTGC